CAACTGTCCTGTGTGAACGAAGTGTCAGTTCAGCTTTGGATGCTGGCTGCCGAAGGTCGTCCTTTGGGGCAGCGCAGGCTTCCTGGAGATCTTGTGGCTCCCCCCTGGGATTATTCTGAGGTGACTGTGAGGCGTGCTGAACTGTTGACAAAGGGATGAATATGGAAACAGTTTCCTGTGGCTGCCGTTACAAATCGCACCAAATTTAGCGGCTTAAAACAACACACATTTACCATCTTGCAGTTCTGAAGGTTATACATCGGGGTCTCTCTGGGCTAAAAGCAAGGTGCCCCCTGGCTGTGCTCTCTTGAAGGTGCTGGGGGAACTTTCTCCTTGTCTTATCCAGCTTCGAGAGGGTTCTTTGGTTCATGGTCCTTTCCTCCATGGGGACAGCTGGCCCAGTAGCACTGTCAAATCTTTCTCTGACACTGACCCTCCCATCCCCTCCTTCCAGCATTAAAGGAACCTTAGGCCCACCCAGATAATCCAGAATAGTCTCATTATGTTAAAGTCAGCTGATTAGCAACCTTAATCCTATCTACAGCCTTGACTCTCCCTTGCTGTTGAGACTTCCTGAATATCGTCAGGCTCTGGGGATCTGAACGTGGACACCTTTAGGGGCCCATCACTCTGCCCGCCATAAATATTATTAACACACTTTGTTTTTCTGCCTTTGGAGCTGGACCAACACTGTACACGTAGCACAGTGTCGCTGCTGTTGTGAACTTTTACTGTCGAGGGAGAAGGAGGGGAGTATTTAGCTGAGATGGACTTGGGCTCAGACACGCGGAGGCTGAAACAGGAAGGCATCTGGCACGTCACGTGAGCGTTGGGGGCGGGGCTCTTCATGCTTATCTTCAACTAGGGTCCTAAGTCCAAGGGCGTGTAGCCCACCCACCTCTGAGCACACCTGCCCACAGGGGCCTGCACGTGATTTTTCTCTTCTACGGAATCAATCAGAGCCACCCAAGACTTTTTGAGCTTAGCTTTAAAAAAAAAATCACTTTAAGTTTTTCAAATCCTTAATTATTTCTGGAGACCTGTTCTGACCACACCTAAGTCCAATGTGCCGAAACCAGGCTCACTAATTATGAATTAACCCTTTATTTCCCATTACCGACAGAGGATCTTTCTCTTTTATGTTGTGTACTACTGGCTTCTGGAGAAAATTCTCATTTTGGTACATATCGAGGTCACAAGTGCTCCTCTTGTATTTAGATCCATCTCTCATGGTGTTATTTAACTATGAAACATGATGAAAAGAATAAAACTTTGGCCTCGTTTTGCTTTTTAAAAAGGATCTGAAGCACTGCGGCAGGGAGACACAACGAGGACATTGTTCGTTTCAAATCCTGTGACCTTTTGGTGGCTCCGGAAAGAAAAAGGGAGAGCAACTGTCAAATGGCCTACTCACAGCTGACTCACTTAGGTTTTACCATGAGAGCAAATACAGTGTGTGAGCCGATATTAACTCACACCCTATGCATTTTTATGTTTTTTGTGGGGTGTTTTAAAATCATTGTCCAGCCCTGGCTGGTGTGGCTCAGTGGATTGGTCGCTGGCCTGTAAACCAGTCATCAGTTCAATTCCCAGTCAGGGCACATGCCTGGGTTGCAGGCCAGGTCCTTGGTTGGGGGTGTGCAAGAGGCAACCACACATTGATATTCCTTGCTCTCTCTTTCTCCTTTCCCCTCTCTCTAAAAATAAATAAATACATATTAAAAAAAATTATTGTCTAAACACAAAGATAGAGGCCCAAATGTGTATTTCCTAAAGTATAAGACAGTATTCCTAGTGTACTTGGGTCTCAGGAATGCAGTGCAATGAAAAGGAGCAGTAATGTATAGCCAGTTGCAGCCCGAACTGGATTAAAAGCAGATTCTCTCAAAAGAAACATTATATTTCTGAATTTATATCAACCCTTCTGAAAGAGGTGCTTCATGTTTTGTTACTCTGGTACCCTTTGCCTGCTTTCTACAAGGTCGCCTTTCATTTTCTTATTGATTCGTGAATATTCTTTATATCTCATGGCTATAGAATGCATTTATAAATTTTATTCTACTCTAATATCTTTTAATCATATACTAGCTCTCACCTTCTCAGGCATAAACTTCATTATGAGGATGTTGTACATTTTATGTAGTCAAATCTGTCACTTTATCAAATTTAATTCTTCTCTCATCAGTATTAGCTTATTTTCTTTATTATCTTTATTGCTTATTATAAGCTTTATAACTTATTATCTTTATTGTTCATTTGAATTCCTCTCTTTTATATTGTTTGTTTTCCTAAACTGTTTCAGTTGATATGTATCTGGTGATACATATACTTAGGCATAAAGGCTGATAACAGAGGCAGCTAACATGGGTTCCTCTGCACTGGTGCGTGCCTGCTTTGCCGACAGGTCTCGAATCGAGGGATGAGTGTGGGCTGTGTGTGTGTGGTGTGTGTTCAGGGAGTGTTTGTTGACTAACAGACTTTATTTTAAACTGAGTGTCTGAAAAGCAAGCAAGATCATTTTACTTTATCTTACCTCTTGCCCAGTTGTCAAAATAAATTGCTTTTAGAGCAGAATATTTAGAAGTAAACACCAAAGTGTTAACAGAGAGCAGTGAGATTATGAGTGGTTTCTGTTTTCTCCTTTTTGTTTATCTGTGTATCTGATTTTTTTTCTAGCATGTTAATTCAACTTTTCACATTCCCTTAACAAAGAACAGCAAACGAATCTTGCCTTGGCTCCCCCAGTCTTTGTTTGTAAGAGGGAATTAGTAGTCCCATCTCTTGCCTGGGTTCAACCTGTCCAACAGTTTGGAAGGGTAACATCTTAGGTAGAATTCAGAGAATATTCCTAAGAAATGGGCCATTCGAAGTTCATTTATAAGTAAGCTATTGAAAGCAGTTTGTACCACTACGGACCCCAGTGGGAGGCGCAGTAACGAATGTTCGTGGGCGGTTTCTTTTTTTAACTCACCGTGGGTAAAAAGCAACATTTCATTATCCTTCCCAGCCTACTACTCAAAGGGAAGTCCATTGTTCCGTCACAGAGAGCTCTGACAACGAGAACAGTGTGTGCTTGTCTGTACCACTCAGGACCGCGAGAAGGCTGTCTGAGCACCACAGATAAACAGAGAAGCAGTCAAACTTAGGAGTCTGTTGCCGCAGGCAGGCAACATTACTCTCGGGATGCAGCAGGGTCATCGGCAGAAAGTGGAAATAGGAATTCTCTCAACACCGGCTGCTCTCTGAGCGGTGGGCAGGCTCCAAGCAGGCAGATGGGACAAAGGTGTCCAGCCAAGGCATGACCAGTACATTTTGTGAACAAAGCAGTGCCATGTATTTGAATATTTTGTCCGCAGTCTCCCAAAGACTGACCCAAAGAAGGCAGCTGGTGAGGCAGGTTAGCGCAATGGCCAGGGCCTTGACGCTTAGGTCCATGCAGACCTGCGCTGGTCCTGGCTCACTCTTTGCATCGGACGCATTGCCACTTCCAAAACTGAGGTTTTACAGTTTGAAAACGAGTGATACCTTCTACTTCATAGAGCTTGTGTGAGGGTTTGAGTTAGTGATGTAACTAAAAAAATATAGAAGGCATTTGTCCCCTAGTAGGCACACGTGAAGGGGTCACAGAGCTGAGACCTGAGTGGAGACCAGGTGGGTCACCAGAGGGGCTGGCGCATGTCTGGTGGGGCCCTGGTCAGTTCTCATTCTTCCTCTTGACGTGGCAGCAGCACCTGACAAACTGAATTCACTGTGGTTGCCGGGGAACACAGCGAGTTTGCACAGCGCGCATTCCTAACCCCAACCCAGCTCCGTGTTGTGGGGTGGGTTTTGTCACCAGCAAACATTATACAGTCTTCACAGATTCCATTTTCTTCCAGGTCCTATTGCAGAAAGATATTTGGATGGGCCCTAATTACTGTAAATTCAAGGTTCTGGTGCCCAGAAATTGCAGAATGAAGCATTCTTTAGGATATGTTTTAATTATTACCATCTTGGGGTATTTTATTTAGCAACAATTTGTTCATTACTTTGCAATCACTCATTTCATAATTACGGTATGTGCTAAGGATACAGCATGAATTTTGTGTTGTGCATAAGTATATCCAATAGTGATTAGTAATGTATGAAACTTCCAGAGAATCATCTAGGAATAAGGTTGCTTTTAGGCGTGGCTAGAGAAATTACTGTTATTTCAGAGTTCTCCATAAACTGTTACCCATTCAGTACAACTCAGTTCTATAGCTGAAGCCTTTCAAAAGGTCATGGCTCTTTAGCACAGATTTCAGCTCATGGACTGGTCCCTGCCCACCTCTCCCAGGGCATCGTATGGAACCGCTTACGTATCTGCCAAGTCAGGTGTGTGCCCCTCCCCAATCTGTCACTTTCATAACCTGTTTCTTGGCACATTTAAATCCGTCTTCACAAATTACGTGTTCACCCACCCCACCTACCTAACTGGCCCTGCTGGGCTCCTAATTTTCCTTCAGAACCAAGTTCAGTCACCTCCTCATCTGTGACAGATTCCCCGACCCAACTCCATAGACCTGCTTATGCACATCCAATAATGATTAGTTAATGATTTTATGAATCCTCCAAGTGGGGTTACTTTTGTGAGTCAGCAGTGGCGCCAGCTGGATGGGACACTGGAACAATAGGAATAAACTAGGAACGTCCCACATGAACCAGACGTGTAATCAGCCACTTTGACCCAAATGGGCCGATGGCTCCTGTGGAGGAATCATTGTCCCCGCCCTCTGGGAGCTCACGTCCTGAGGAAGGCGAGGTAGGTGTGTTTACTGGAACGTTCTGTGACTGTGAACTCCGTATTTGGGAATGTAAGTGGGGGTGGACCTGGGTTTCTTGTTCACCCATGTGGTTAAAATGAGAGCTCAGAAAGCTCGTCGTACCCAACACTCTGGCTCATCTTGAAAGACTCTGGGGGACACAGATCAGCGGACAAAGAGATCCTGCTACCCGTTGCTCTCGGGAAGTCTGTGAACATGAAGCTGTTTCTGGTTCTTGTTGTTCTGCTGTTTGAGGTGCACACAGGTAACTTGTCCCAATGCGCCAGGAAATCCTAGGAGATGTTGCTGCCCATAGGACTGGGGTCAGGGCCTTCCAGAAGTCTGGTGTCTTGCCAATATCATCAAAAGTACCCACTGTCTTGGGTGTCTGGCCTGAGTCTGTGTCTTGGAAGAGAACATCTAGAGAGGTAATGATCGGGGCCATACTCTCTGAGTCCTCTCCAGAGGGAGGAATGAGCCCATCATTTAGAATCATCTCGGTGGCGTACAACAAAGCTTTCACCCAGGAACCCGGCCATCTCTTTTTCCATTCAAGTTCACGTTGGGCCTATACTACACCAGTAATAAGAGCAGCGCAGGCTTTGGAGTCATGTAGATATGAGGTTAAAATATGTCTTCACTACTGACTACTGTATTGAGCTAATGCTCACTCTGAACCTCACTTTTCTCATCTGTTAAGTGAGTGAGGATAACAACTCGATTTCATAATAATTGTATTTCATGACCTTACACATGTGAAAAGCTAAGTTCTCCCTTGCTGCGTAGGAAGGCATATATGGTCTTTTTGTGACTCTAAAATACCTTTCTACCCCTCAGAGATGCTCCCTGGAATTTAAGATAGGGTGAACTGTGTCTTTGTTCCATAGGCTCGTCCAAATTTGTGTACCAGGGCAAGTAAAGAACTGGAAGTGGGAGATGGAGGACCTCAGTGCAATACTCTGAATAGGTGACAGTTTGGATCTCCAGGGAGACAGGGATACATGGAATGGAGTTTGATTCCTGGGAATCACATTTATCCGAGATCAAAAGGAGGATGGAGAGAGAGAGAGCGAGCGAGCGAGCGCAGGTTATGGAGAAGTCACAGCAGCTGAATAAGGGAAGGGGTTCCGCAGAGGGAGATTTCTGCTGCCCTTGTCAGTGTGATACCCAGTTTTACTGTTAACCTAAAAAGGCCTGCCTTTGATACTCTTCAAAAGTTAATTTGGCTCCGAATTATGCCATGGTGACAAGTTGGCACTCTCTGGACACTGGAGTTGGGGCAGGACAGAGGGAGTGCTGACTCTGCAGCGTGGAAGGCAGGGTCCGATTTGCCAGGGTCCTAGGGGTGGGACTAGCTTCAGTCAGCAACCGTGAGTTGGGCTCTCTCTTCTCTTTTGTCATATAAGTTCTAATGTTCTCAGAGCCAATTGAGTGTTCGCCAGGAGGTGGAGTTTTGGATGTCCCAAATTCTAGCTGATTTTTCAAGGAGGAGGCCCTGAGTTTTCTCGTCTCGGCATAAGGTTCCCTTTGGGACCACAGGGGGCCCCAGCTGGTGGGGACCTGCACGCCTCTTCCCTTCTGCCTCAGGAGCTAACCTGGGTTCAATGTTGTTTTCTGTGCACAGATGCCGCATGGCCCAAGAAATGCTTTAGTAACATAGTAGGCCGCTGCAGGAAGAAATGTCCAGTGGGAGAAATATATGAAATACCATGTCTAAATGGGAAATTATGTTGTGTTAATGAAGATGAAAGCCAGAAATACGAGAAAGTTGAAAAGCCACGCCAGCCATCTCCAGTGCAGTCTGACCAGAAGCTGGACTACTCGATTTTACCCACCGTCACACTCGTCACCATCCAATTTTAAATAAAGTGCTCACTCCCCTGGCCTCCATTCTTCCTAAATCAAAACTGCCACCTAATGCAACATGCCGGGGCAGGGGATTTACCGTATTCTGCTGTGTTTAACGCATGCTTTTAGTCCAAATTTTGAAGGAAAAACAAGGATGTGCATTATACACGGGCAGTACCTGAAATACCTTGTGTGTGTTCTTGTGTTTTGTAAGTATGTGTTATATAAAATTTATTAGACCATACTATGTTCAAAAAGAAATGCTAAAATTTCTTTATAATACAAAAAGTATCTAAACAGAAATCAATAAGAATTGAATTAAAAAATTAAAATGAAAGATTTTTTTTTTGAAAATTTGGGCCCCAAATGGGGGTATATATTATAGACAGCAAACTACGGCATCTGCCTCTTTCTGTGAACTGGATTCTCCACATGATAAAGTCCTGCATTTTTCCCGGGATTGATTTATTAAATGTATTCACTCACTTTTTTGAACACTTCATATAGAAATGAATAGTTATCATGTTCCGGTCATTACACTAGTAAGATGGGTGATACAGAGATCAGAGGGATGTGTTGGTAGAGGTAGAAGTTAGCTCCCGTACTTTCCTAGCATTTCGGGCATTACTGCCTCTTTTTACTGAAGTTGCTCATGTCTGAGGAGATCGGAATGTCCTACCTTTGTGTGTGAAGGTGGAGTGCAGAGGGTTTTTCTAGCAGAAAAGCATTCTTCAGAGGAAGGGAAGGTATTGCACATTTCCATAACATTTATTGGGACAGATCTCATGGGTGGTAATGACAGCTAATGCTAACTCCATTGCATCCTTTGAAGCTCATTTAATGGACACACTCCATTTCTGTTTTTTAGTAGCAATTTGAATATCCAGTTGTCACAGTTTTTGGAAATGTATTTAGGATCTTTGAAAACATCAGATATTCTGTTTATTTCACTAGTGTGAGTTTGTAAACTTTCTGCTCTAAAATAAGGAAGGACTGAGGATCTAATGTAAAATATGGTGATTATAGCTGATAGCATTATATTATGCAATTGAAATTTGCTAGGAAAGTAGAACTTAAATGCTTCCCCCCACCACAAAAAATGAAAGAGAAAGAAAGATAAATACGTATGTGAGGTGATGGCTGTGTTAACTAGAAGGAGGAGTATTTTCACAATGTGTTCATATATCAAAGCACCACAAGTGCACTTTAAATGTCTTACAATTTTGTATGTTAATTATACCCCCAAAAAGCTGAAATTAAAAAGGAAGTTTAAAATAGTATGAAATGTAAAGCCTTATAAATAAGGAGGACACGTTGAAGAAGCTCTGCACAAGCTAAACACGTCCTCAGTAAGTCACGATGGTAGGAAATGCCCTGCAGGTGGACAGAACAGAACGTTGTGTGGTGGTGCCATCTATGGATGTTGCCTGGTTCACGTCTAAGTCACAGATAACTTTTGTGGAGCCGGCCCCTCCTCTGGGGTAAAGGAATCAAAGACCCTATTCCTCCATGTGCAGCTCGCCATCTTGTTTTATTGGGAGGACAGGACAAATGTTTAGGTGGATATGGTCATGTTTTCAGAGCCTCGAAGCACCTGCCTATTAGTAGTTGAGGCCTTTGAGAATTCTGAAGTGTGTAAGAAATGAGGACTGGTCTCAAGTGCAGAATTTTTAGTATTTTTTGTTGATGGTTTCAGCACCATGCAAGCTAATTTCACCTTCATTATCAGAGAGGTTTTTTTTTAAGGCTCACATAGAAAGTCCTTTTTTCATTGCAACACTTCACAGGCTACTGTCTTTTCCATCTTCCATCACTGCAGATCACCAGGGACATTTTCAGGGAGGGTCCATTTAGTCACTATGACGTGAAGCTGGATCTTGCCCATTGCCTTTAATCTATGTGTCCTCTATTCTATAGGTGTCCACTGATAAATTATATGCAGTAATCCATTTTGGCTTAGTTAGTATCAGACCAGCCAGGGAAGTGTCTCCTGCATTGGGAGAGAGGGGCATAATGAACTAAACAAAATGAAGCCTTGAATTCTACTTTGGGTGGATCTCATCTTTGCTTTGACTTTCCCCCCATTATCCTTCTTACCTCCCTCCACACTCATAGGAGAATGAATGGGGTTGGTACTGTTAGATGGGTGTTCATTGTCTACCTTATTTTCATATACAAAATTAAATCTGAAGCCTATATTTTTATTATGTACCCTTTTAGTACAGGCAGTATTATTTGTACCTTGTTTTTCTTGGTTCTATCTTAGAACATTTTCTAAAGTCTTATTTATAGAACATTTCAAAATTGCCAGAATGTTCCAGGTAGTTTTCTCCTGCATAGCAGTCATGGGGGCCACCCATCTCTCAGGGGGTCTTGGACAATGCTCATGAAGAGTGCCAGAGATATTAATCATTTCCTACTCATACTCATCCTTTCTTAAAGTTTGCTCATAGCTCTTCTCAGGGAGCCTATTTTCATGGGCTCTGGCAAGACGGTGGTGGGCCAGCTAACCCTGCTCTCGTGGCTACAAGTGGTTGGACCAGAGTGAGTAACAGATGTGTGTGTACAGGTTGAACCTACTTCTGTGGACATCCAAGTTGGGTCCTGGTATACTGCTGAATAAGAAAAGGAGGAGGGAGGGAGGAAGAGAGAGAGAGAGAGAGAGAGAGAGATCCAGTTCCAGTTCTTGGTTCAATTGGTTCTACTCCCTAAGGCCTCATGTGGTTGTTACCATTTCTTATGGTAGGTCCTCCTTTTCCGAAGTGAGCTCACCTCTCCCATGACCTCATGTCTAAGACATGACTCATCGTGCCCTGGGCAATTTCTCAGCACAAGTTAGTATTTAATTGGTAAAGACCAGGGTAGTGATAGTGACAACAGTTAAGATCCACTTAAATAATTGCTTTTAGAGATAACCAAATATCTAAGACAAGCCATGATCAAAGCAACTTTACAAAGATATATTTTTGTTCATAGATATGTTCTGATGTAGCCTCAATTACTCAGTGGCTCTTGGAAATATATAAATACTCATTACCAGTGTGGTACTTTTCAAACTTAAAAAAAAATTAACCAATTGATACTATTAGAAAACATGGATAAACTAGTAAAAAATAATTATAAGAAACAATAATTCAGATATTATAATTGAATAACCCTATTCAACTAGTACCTGTCAGACAAATATCAAAGGCCCAGATAGCATTAAATAATATTTCCTGAGTCTGAGAATCAGGCCACATAAGACTTAGGCACATCTGAAGTCCCTGTCTTATATCAAAATGGAAGCACGCAAATGATAGGGTAGCAGTCTTTCAGCCTTCTTTGCTATGTTTCGGCCTGGTTAGAGTTGGAAGGCAATTACCTGTAACTTCTACAGACAAAATAAAAGAAGTTATGTTGCATAGACAAAGTAAAATATAGTTAATCAGCTTGAAGTAGTGAGTTAAAAACTCAGCAGTGTAGCTATACTCTTAAGAACAGTGACATGGTGGGGGTGGGGGGTGAATGGAGGTGGACGAGGGTATCAGGGGGGGTAGATGGTAATTGAAAAAATAAAATAAAAAATAAACTGTTTTTAAAGAAGAGAAGATGAAGAAAAGCACAGCGACATGGTAGACATCACGCTGGGGAAAGGCTTATTTCAAGCTAACACGACCAGTGGTTTACACAAACACGCAGCCACCGCCACCCTGAGTTTGCATGGTCTGCTTTTGTGTTTAAAAGTTCAAATAGTGAATAACTGGACATTAGCAAGATTTAAAAATTTTGTACTTCAAAGGACACCATGAAGGAAGTGAAAAGATAATCCACAGAATGAAAGAAAATGTTTGCAAATCCTCTATCTGATAAAGACTCGTGCCCAGAATAAAGAAAGAACTACTGCAATTCAATAACAAAAAGACAAGCCAATTGAAAAATGAGTAAAAGATGGCCCATCTTCTCTAGATGTACTAGGCCAGTTCCCAGCAACAGGAGACAGATGTCGCTGTTGCTACTGGTGGTCCTGTGACGTGGGTCTGAGGACCAGGGCCGGACTGGGTGAAAAGAGTGATGACAAAAAGTGGCTGCTTTGGAGGCCAAAGCTGTCATCAAATTGAATTTGTTTTGGTGACTGCAATGAGCCTCAGGACAGAATCTTGAAGGAACGGATCAAACTGGGTGAAGGCTGGGAACCTTTGGAGACAATGCTGAAATTCAACAGGTTAAACTCTGACAGACTTGAATGTAATAGTAGAAACAGTGAACAAATCAAAGGCAGAAATTATGGAAACAAATGAAGCTAAAACTAAAAGCAGATCTCCAGGCAAACTCCTCCCTTAAGGGCCTAATGAGTGTTAAAATGATGTAAGTAAAACATTTTATTTACTTATTTTTAGAGAGTGAAGAAGGGAAGGAGACAGAGAGGGAGGGAAATACTGATCAGCTGCCTCCTGTATGCACCCCTTCTGGGGACTGAACCTACAACCTGGGCTCTTATACACCCAGACAACTCAGCCACACTGGTCAGGGGAAGAGATCTTTTTATATTAAGTGTTTTCCAACAGGTGCAACTCTTGTTGACATAAATGAATGGTTAGAAGATAAAGGTCAAGTACCAAATATTCAAATGAAAAGATCATTGCACAGAACATTTTAGGAATCAAAATTTGATGTATTTAGTAGCATTAAATCGGCTAAAAAGTGTTTTGAGACACTGTCCTGCTCCCCACTGTGACCAGAGGGACCTTGCTTTTCAAAGATTACTTTGGAGGCAAAAAAAAAAAAGTGAAAGCTAATTCATGAGCTAAACAAGAGCAAGAAGAAAAACAAAAGTTAGCCAAAAATGCTGAAATGAAATCTAGAAAAGATTGGATGTTTGCTGAAATTTGGGGGGAACTTAGATGATCTCACCTGTAGAAAAGATTTCCACACTCTTTTCTCAAATCATGATGAAATAAAATGGATAGATTTTGTCAGAGCAGCAAAAGAGGAAATAATTCTATTTAAAAAACAAGCTGAGGAAGCATCAGATG